TGTCTCTTTTTTTTGTCATTCTAACTAATAATATTGTAAGAAAAGAAAAGGTGAGCGAGGAAATTACTGTTTTTTTATTTGAACTGGTGAGGAAATTATTGTTGCGGGCAATGGAAAAGGTGTCGATAGAGCGAGACGCGTTCAACCGACGCGACCCGTACAACACAAGCGCTGGCTCTCCACCCTCGCGTCGCTTAAATACGACGCCGCAGGCCCCAACGCAAAGGCACTCTCTCCCTCCCCCCTTCTCTCTCGCGACCTCCTGTTTCCGCCCACCTTCTCCGGCTCCGGCGCCGGCGAACCCACCGCGGATCGAGCGATTCCTCCGATCAGGTGACCGACCCGCCTCCCTGGATCCACCCCCTCCCCCTCCCCCTCCCTCCCCTTTGCGGGCGCGCTCCTCCATTCGCGAGATCCGTCCTTTCCGTCGGTGGATCACGCCGAGCGGGTCGCCGGTTCGGTAGATCTCGCAGGGATCCATGGCCATTTCCGCACCGACGTCTCCTCGCCGCGCGCTGGATCCGCATGCGGATCCCGTGCCCGGCGCGTAGATCGCGGGGCCGGGCGCATGGCGATCGGTGATCCCGGGGCCGTTCGGTTGGGGCCCGGATCTGGCGCGCCGCGTTTAGATCTAGCGAAATGGGATGCCGTCTGACGCGTGGGGATCGTGATTCCGTGTTGCAGGAGAGGCGAGCCGGGAGGAAGAGCACCTACGCGGGAGGAGAGGAGATGGGGCTCACGTTCACCAAGCTGTTCAGCCGCCTGTTCGCCAAGAAGGAGATGCGGATCCTGATGGTGGGTCTCGACGCCGCCGGAAAGACCACCATCCTCTACAAGCTCAAGCTCGGCGAGATCGTCACCACCATCCCCACCATCGGTGAGCACCGGTCCTGCGCGCATCGCATGATTCCTGCCTATTTATTCATACCAAGTTATTGCTTAAATTGGGAATCTGTAGCGGAACATGCAAATGCTTGGCAATGTGATCCCAGCCGGTGCTATTTCGAAACGCAAGTTTTGCAAAATAACTGCTAGAATATCAATATGAAGCTATTAATGGCTAGGTAGTTGGATGATCTAAAAAATGGTTAGGTAGTTTTTGTTCATTAGGATCTCTCTGCAGGTCACGGGCAGTGCACTTATGCTGCTCATAGGGATATATATTGACATAACGACAGACAAGTCCCAGATTTACCGGTTGTTGCATTTCTTTCTTACAACCATATAAACGTAAGAAAATCGGTCCTGAGCTAGATGTCCTTTGGCGAAGTTCCAGTTACTTTGGTATGGTCAAGTTTCCCTTTAAACAAATGCCTACATGCCAATAGGAAGTCATTGATAGTAACAAACAAATGCCTATATGCCAACAGGAAGTCATTGATAGTAACGCTCATGCAGTTTTGGAGCATCCAGTGAGTAATTAAAAGCCCACTACAACCAACTAGCTACCCTATCTCAAAGTACACTGAAGTTGACTTAATATTGCCTTTTGTAAATCAACTGCTTGCTTCGTATGCCATTGGATGATATTATTTGCCAGTATAATATCCTCATGTGCATTTTATGGACTGTGCTGAAAGGCTAGACCATCTTGTCCTTTCATGCAAATTATATTATACTGTAGGTCAGATATGGACATTTGTTAATCTGCAATACATGTTCTCTCTGTTTTTCTCAAAATTGTCTTTCCTCCGAATACAGGGTTCAATGTTGAAACTGTGGAGTACAAGAACATCAGCTTCACTGTCTGGGATGTCGGGGGTCAGGACAAGGTACATAAATAACATATGATGCGCCTTGAAACTGAATTGTTTTTATAGTACCTGCAATGTATGATTTTCCAGTATCTCACACATAATTTCTAATACACTATGGAACAATATAGGAATTGTTTTTATAGTACCTGCAATGTATGATGTACCAGTGTCTCGCACATAATTTCTAATACACTATGGAACAATATAGGAATTGTTTTTATAGTACCTGCAATGTATGATGTACTAGTATCTCACACCTAATTTCTAATACACTATGGAACAATATAGAGCTCGTATCTCCCTTCTCTGGATTTGTCACGCAGCTTTTGTTAAAATGGATTCTAATGTTTAGCATGTTTGTAAAAACAGATCAGGCCACTGTGGAGGCATTACTTCCAGAACACACAGGGTCTCATCTTTGTTGTGGACAGCAACGATAGGGACCGTGTTGTTGAAGCAAGGGATGAGCTCCACAGGATGCTGAATGAGGTAAATTCTTACACTACGCAACGGTCCCATCTGCATTACTTGTTGTACTTTATCCTAGCGATTTCGAGTGCTCACAGTTGACATGTTCACTGATTGCAGGATGAGTTACGTGATGCTGTGCTGCTTGTGTTTGCTAACAAGCAAGATCTTCCAAATGCCATGAATGCTGCTGAGATCACTGATAAGCTTGGCCTGCACTCCCTTCGCCAGCGACACTGGTAGCCATGCGCAGACTTCCCTTGCTTGTCTTTTCTGTAATTTAAGATATATATGATCGTCATCCTTGTCGTTATAACTGGCTCATTTGCCCCAACCAACACATATAATAATTTTACAGTACTTGTGTGAAGAAAATGAAATTTATCTGCTGCCCTTTGGCTTTGTAATGCATGTTGGTGCTCTTATATTTCTTTATGGAGGGAGTAATAAATTGTTGTTGTTGTTGCTTGCAGGTACATCCAGAGCACTTGTGCTACAACAGGGGAGGGACTGTATGAAGGCCTGGACTGGCTGTCCAGCAACATTGCCAGCAAGGTATGCATAGGCTTTCCTTCTCGGTGGTTGTCTTCAAAACTTCCTTCTCTAGAAGAGGGACGCAGTCTCCCATCTGTGAAATTTATTTACAATGACTTGTTTGTCAGTTCATTAATGCCATCCATTTGAACGCACTTGCAGCCCTAAATTTTCGTCAAGATTTTGAAGGAGCTAGGAGCGCTTTGGATGGACGATTGAATCACCGGGTACCTAGGGATTGTGTTGGGATGAGACGGTGCTATGCTATTCCCGTATGTACTGTGTATTTTCCTGAGATCAACAGTTACTGAGCCAGCTCCGGCTGTGGTTTCACTGTCATACTATTGTTTTATTGTATTCGAGCCCTAAGATGTTTGTGAAGTAAACAGCTAAAGAGAGTCCTGTTCAATTTCGTAATAAGTGTTCAAGCATCTATCTATCTATCTATTCCTGTATATATTCAGCACTGCTCCACTTTTATTTGCGCATTTGTTAGTAGCACCTGGGAAAGAAGATAGGTAGATATGCTTTTTTGATGAGGATAAGAATGGAGCTGCTCAAAGGCACACCTCAGAAAGACGAGAAGGTCCCTTGTGCGAGCAAACTATACAGCGCCTGCGTGTCATTGCGACACCCAAGGGATTGCTCTCTGTTAAGTCGACATACAAAGTTATCAACAGCTGCGGGTTGGAAGGAGAAAGTTAGGAGCTCGATCTGGAAAAAGAACTGCCCAGGGAGAGATAGGACATCATTGGATGTGGCGAAACATCATCCCTCGTACGAATATCATGAGGCGGCGGTGTGGAAGTGGAACTTATGCGCTCGCGTGCGGCCACAAGGCACAGAACTTATAAGTGCCCGATCTCCACCTGAATAACTTGCCGGAGCAAACGAGGATGCGCACCATCTGCCTGTTAATGGAGCTGCTGGACTGAGCGGAACAGGCCACACGGGGAACAGGCGCCTGAATGCCAACGAGTTCACCTTCCAGCTCTCGGGGGGAATGGTCGGAATTATACTCATCACCTAGCCAAACAAATTGCTGCCTCACCGCCCAAGCGGAAGCCACCACCAGAGGTGATGGGGCCTGGGCAGCATTGCTGGGGTCTGCCTTTTTGCAGCAGCGGAAAGTTACCCCACACACTTGACAAAGATTTTGGAATGGGTAGTGGCCCTTTCACAATTTGCAATGATAACACACTTCCATATTGCAATTGCATGGAGGGCTTCACCATAACATCCCCAAAAGATTGGGAGCTACTCCCTCCGTCCCATAATATAAGACGATTTTTTACACTACACCAGGGTTAAAAAACATTTTACATTATGGGACAGAGGGAGTAGAAGATAGAACCACTGGGTGCTCGAGAAATATTCCCTTAGACTGCAGACAAGTTCTACTCCGTGCCATGCGTTGAGTTGCCCGAGAATGCCTCAAAAGTAAAAGCTGTTGCAAGCGCGAGTGTCTGCGCACAAGTTTGCCTGAGTAACTGTTCTTGCACCGCATTACAATGTGGTGGCACTATCAATTCAACTGGAGAAAGGTAAAGATTTGGAGAAACAAAAGTAAGAGCACTAGCTGTATACTGGATTGTGTTCAAGGTTGTAACAGAATCACTGCATTTAGATACACTGATTGACAGCGTGCCACAACAAAATTCACAAAGAAGTTAGGGGCAGGCAGTTTTGGTTCTGTATTCAATGGGTTTTTAAATGAATCTTCTTCGCCACAAACTATGTGCTCTGAAACAAGCTTTGGATCTAACATTTGCTAGGTGGTCAAGGTGCTAGGGCTGTGATGGAAGGCCATTTCCGTGTGACTTCCAAACTACCCCCTCATGTTAAACTATGCTGCGGATGACGGTAACCACCACTTAATGGAATGCTAGGTGTTCCACCTTCCAAAAAAAAGGCATCACTCAACGCCAGTGGGATAAGAGCACTGATAACAGAAGGGGTCTCTCTGACCATAGAGAAACAAATTTTGCAACCCAGCGTGCAAGATTTACATCGACTGCTAATGGCATGATGAGTAGTACATCAGTTTCTAGACAAACGTTAATGGCAGCCAGAGTTCTACTTCTACCCCGCCGAATCAGCGTCAAATCACGATGTCATTCCTAGCTTCTACTGGAGAACAGCATGAGCCACCCAACATAACAAAATTTGCAGCTCTCCCCAGCTTGGAATGCAACACGAACCACCAGAATCTACTTCTTCCCTCTTGTAATGTAAGCTGAATCAATCTTCCAAGATCTCTTCCGCGGCTGTGGCTGATATTAGTGAAGCTGACTGGATCTTCCCAGCATGCTCCAGCCTCATCAGAATTACTCCCCTGTGGCACACCAAGCAGAGCAATTAGTGTCGAGTGTACAAGCATGAGGTAAACACAACTAGAGGTCTATGATTTAGTGATCTAAAACGTGCATGAGGTAAACACAACTAGAGGTAGCATTTGACAATTAAGGGAATGCGAGAAGAACTTGAATACTACAGAGCTTGTCCTAGATCAATGCTTGAAACAAGGAACATCTCGGCTTTGAAATACTCGGCAGAAGCATTTAGATTACATTATAAACTTGGAGAGAGAGAGAGGGAGAGCGAGTATTACTTTGCCCCACGACCCTGGATGGATATATCTTTGACCTTGATTCTGTTTACAGTGCCACCATGGCTAACTAAAACAACCTGCTCCTCACTTGCATCGTCATCTGTCATTTGATTTGTACACACAAAAAATCAACATGTTAAAACAAAGCTTATCTGTCGTTAGGAAACAAAAAAGGACTGCAGCAGAAGTTACCAGTCGGTTCCCCAACGACAAACACAGCAGCTAAGCGGCAATCTTCTGGAAGCTGCAAGCCAAAATAGCATATACTATCAACAACTCCATGAAGCTCAGATGAATGATGTAACCATCTGAAGGTTATTTTCAGGTTAAATGTACTTGAATCTTTTAGGCGTGACAAATTTCAGTGACAACAGAAGCTACAAGTTCCAAGGTGTACTTCACGTTTTATTCAATATGAGGTACTCTAGACAAAACGATTCGCTGAACACGGTAAATCAGAAACTTTACTATACCTTGTAGCCTCGCAAGCCTACTCTATTGAAGCTTGATTGACGGAAAGCATTTAGGGGCACACGCTTCCCATAACCATTTTCAGCTATGAAGAGCAGCCATGGAGGACTCAAGTCTCTGACCCTGGAATGCATAAATTGTTCAAAGATAATTTGGTCAGTGATTGGGCAGTAGCCGGAAGGCAGTTCAGACTGCAAAGTTGCACAAACCACTGGCATCAAAAAGCACTGTCAAAGAGGATACTTTTTAAATGCATTGAGACAAGCCAAACTGAATACAATTCACCTACCATCAATGCATTGGATTTCTTGAAAGAACAAATTTTCTTCCTTATTATTTTACTGAACTGTTAAATTTTGATGAACTTCATCCATCTGGTCTTGCTAATTACGAGCTGATTTTAAAAATTCAAAAAAATTGGTGCCAAACTACCTGCTGACAGTTTTTCCAGGCATTGTATGGGTTGTCGATGGAATTATATCCATGGCTGCCATCTTGTCATCTTCCTTTAGCCTCATTGCACCCATACCTCTTGTAGTTCTTCCATGCGGACGAAGCTGGGATGTGGAGCAAATATAATTAAATATAAAGAATAGATGTCAGTGAATTGGCAAAGAAAAAATGGTACACATGAAGCAGCAGGCAAACAAATCCAAAGGAGACAAAATATGTTGAACCGGTATGGGCCCTAGCCCATCAAGATCTGTCTCTTGGGCCCAAGCCCATGAGAGGTGCTGACCTAGAAGAGGAGCCCCTCTTCCCCCTGCCCCGGAGTGAGCCGCCAGAGACGAGAGGAACTACTCGTGAGTCACCAGACACCACCTGCCCTCCTCTCTGTAGGTACTCCCCCTCTCATCTCAACATGGTATCAGAGGCCAGCGACGGTGGGGCCTAAGGAGACGGCGGCGACGTCCGGCGAGGTGGCGGCGGATCTGGCGCGCGCGCGGGAGGCTGCGGAGAGCTGCACGCACGAGAGACGCGGGGAGCAGCCCGGCAGAGCTGCGCGGGCGGCTGCTGCTGCTGCTTCTTGGACCGGAGGCAGAGCCCCTGCTCGGGCTCTTCCTCGTCCTCGGGCGGCTGCAGAGGAAGAGGAGCTGCTCGGGGTGGTTGCTGGCGTGCGTGTGCTGAGCGGCAGCAGGCAGAGGAGCAGAGGAGGAGCACCAGTGGAGAGAAGGAGTGCGTGCGTCCTGCGTGCGCTGTGGTGCTGCTGAGCGGAGAGTAGAAAGGGGAGTGATCGAGAGGAGAGGAGCTGCTGCTGGGCGCTGTGGTCCTGGAGGCTGCGTGTTTGCTGCTGCTGACTCTGTTGCTGCTACTGCTGGTGCTGCTGAGGGGGAGAAGGAAGAGGAGGTGCTGGAGCTTATTCCTGCGAGGAGCTGCTGCTGGTTGGAAAGAGAAGAAGAGGTGTTGCTGAAGCTGAGCTGCTGCTGGTTGGAAAGAGAAGAAGAGGTGTTGCTGAGTTTTGCTGTTGCTGCTTATCCCGCCAAACAATGGCTGAACCAACTGGTCTTGCCGAGGCTTTGGAGAAGCTCGCTAAGATCCTCGCGGAGTCCAACTCTGGGGCCATCGTTCCTCGACAGGGAGTGGCTCAAAAGCTTGAAATGTCGCCCCTGGACATGAAGCTAGAGGGGGCAACAAATTATTTGAGCTGGTCCAGAAGGGCTTTGTGGGCTGTGGAGCAGAAGGAGCTTGATGGATATTTGTTGGGCACCGTTGTAGAACCAAGGGACAAGAGTAGTGCAGAGGGCAAGAGGTGGAAGGTCATCCACTCTGTACTTATGGTGTGGTTGTTGAACTCCGTGGTGCCCTCCATTGGACGCTCTGTGGAGGGGCTATCCTCACCTGCTGAGATATGGAAGATTCTGTCCACTCAATACTCTGGCAAGGGCAATGTCATGCTCATTGCTCAGATTGAGGACAAGATTAGGTTGCTGCGTCAAGATGATGGCATGTCAGTGATGACATACGTGGCAGAACTGCAGGCTCTGTGGGCTGACCAGGATAACTGTGATCCCTTGGAACTCTATGATGCGGCTTCAATCGAGTCAGGGCATAAGTGGATGGCACGCAGGCATGTGCTGAAATTTTTGGCTGGCCTCAAAGGTTGCTTTGATGGCAGGAAGGCTTCCCTGTTGCACCAACCTAGTCTGCCTACCATTCCTGAGGCTATTGCAGCGATGACTCAAGAGGAGGTGCGCCTATCCCTTGAGCATGCAGACATGAAGGTTGTGCCAGCTTCGACATTTGCAGTCACTGAGCGCATGGAGTGGGGAGATCCCACCAAATGTCATATCTGTGGGGAGGTAGGTCACTGGAAGAGAGAATGTCCAACTCGTGGCAGAGGCAGGGGATATAACAGAGGGGGAGCAGGCAGAGGTAGAAGTGCTAGAGGCAGAGGTGGATACTCAGAGACCTCATGGAGCCAGGCTTCTAGAGGTAGAGGTGGCTACTCAGGACACTCAGGGGGTCAGAGGGCTCACATGGCCGTTGCAGGAGACACTGGGACGTCCAAAGGCAAAGATGTAGATGATGTTGTCCATGGAGACTTTGCTCACTGGGCCTCCACTGATGAAGGTAATCCGGAAAGAGCATCTCTTGCTACTAATGAGAGTGCTCCAGAGTGGGTTCTTGACTTTGGAGCATCTAAGCATGTTGCTAGTAACTCATGTATGTTCGAATCTTACACTAAGCATCCTCCCTCTCACACGGGCACTATACAAACGGCTGATGGCACAAAACAACCAGTCATAGGGGTTGGTACAGTAAAGTGTACTCCGACCATTTCCCTATCGTCAGTTTTACATGTGCCAGCCTTTCCTGTCAATTTGGTCTCTTTCAGTGCACTCATTGATCAAATGGACTGTCGTGTGATCCTTGACAAGTTCGGTTGCTTGATTCAGGTGCGACAGACGAGCCAGACGGTTGGGACTGGCACCAGGCGTAGGGGGCTCTGGTACATGGACCAAGAGGTGCAGCCGGACTTGGTGTGTGCTGCGACCATGGAGGATAAGGAGAAGCAGGCGATGATCCATCATTGTAGGATGGGGCATGTATCTTTTGATAAGATGAGTAGAATATTTCCGGATGTTATGTGTGGAATAGGCAAAGGCAAGCTGACATGTGATGCTTGTGAATATGCAAAACACACACGGGCCTCATATGTGAGTAAGGGGCTCAGGAGCATATCTCCTTTTATGCTTATTCATTCGGATGTATGGACTAGCCCAGTGGTGTCAATGAATGGGAAGAAGTATTTTGCTACCTTTATTGACTGCTATTCTCGCATGACTTGGATTTACTTGATGCGTCACAAGGATGAGGTGTTTAGCTGTTTTCAGAACTTCCATGCTCTTGTAAAGAACCAGTTTCAGGTACAGGTCAAGGTGCTCAGGACGGACAATGGAACGGAGTATGTGAACAACATTTTTGGGGCTTTCATGGCTGACCATGGGATTCTTCATCGAACTTCATGTCCGGACACCCCCCCTCAGAATGGAGTGGCCGAACGGAAGAATCGTCATGTTCTTGAGGTCGCTCGGTCGTTGATGTTTACCATGAATGTGCCTAAGTTCTTGTGGGATGATGCAGTTATGACAGCCACATACTTGATCAACCGAACACCTTCCAGGATACTTGGCATGAAATCTCCGTCTGAGTTGATCATTGGAGATAAGTTTGTTGTTCCCCCAAAGTTGTTTGGCAGTACCTGCTTTGTTCGTGATCACCGACCATCTGTTGGCAAGCTTGATCCTCGGGCAGTGAAGTGTGTCTTTCTGGGATACTCGTCTAGTCAGCAGGGGTATAAATGTTGGTGTCCCTCTGAAAAACGCAGGTTTGTAAGTATGGACGTTACATTCAGGGAGTCTGAGCCATTCTATGGTGAGCCGACTGATCTCAGTCTGTTGTTTGCAGAGCTTGACCACCTACACCCTGTGCATGATGGTCAAGAGGGGGAGAAGGATGTGTCTCATACTCACGGTGATCCTGTGGACATTAACACTGATAATGATGTGCAGGCTCAGGTTCAACCAATAGTGGGTACAATTCCGGTTAGTACCATCACTGATGATGATGTGCGGGCTCATGTCGAGCCAACTGTCGATACACTTAAGATTGGTGCTCTCCAGGTTCCTGTTCGGGATCGATGGCAGACGAATACCCTGGTGTACTCTCGGCGGCAACCACAAGTGCAGGGGGAGCAGCAAGGTAGGGAGGCAAGAGTGCAGGGGGAGCAGCAAGGCAGGGAGGCAAGAGTGCAGGGGGAGCAGCAAGGCAGTGAGGCAAGAGTGCAGGGGGAGCAGCAAGGCAGTGAGGCAAGCTCATCTGACACAGTGGAGCTGCCCATTGCGTTGCGAAAACCTACACGTGAAGCGGCAAGGAAGGGTGAGGTAGCAAGGAAGGCTCTGCCAAAGGATGATGCTTGTGATGACCTTGATATTGGCAATTTTGTGTCTTACAAGGCTTTGTCACCTTCATATAAGGCGTTTGTTGCCTCTCTGCAAACTGTGTCTATCCCTAGGGATTGGAAGGCTGCAAAGCAAGATCCGAAGTGGCGTGAATCGATGATAGAGGAGTTAGAAGCATTGAAAAAAAACAAGACATGGGTGCTAACCACATTGCCGGCAGGAAAGAAAGCAGTGAGTTGTAAGTGGATTTTTACTGTGAAGCAGAATCCCGAGGGCAAGGTGGAACGGTATAAGGCTAGATTGGTTGCCAGAGGATATAGTCAAACTTATGGAATTGACTATGATGAGACATTTGCTCCAGTTGCAAAGATGAACACGGTACGGGTATTGGTCTCGTGTGCTGCAAACTTTGGGTGGAAATTGCACCAGTTAGATGTCAAGAATGCCTTCTTACATGGTGACTTGAAAGAAGAGGTATACATGGAGATACCGCCAGGTTTTGGCACAGAACAGACTACGGGGAAGGTATGCAGGCTGAAGAAATCCTTGTATGGTCTGAAGCAATCGCCGAGGGCATGGTTTGATAGGTTCAGACGAGCTGTTTGGAATATGGGGTATGGCCAATGTAATGGTGACCACACGGTGTTTTATAGACACACTAATAAGAAGATCACCATTGTTGCAGTGTATGTTGATGATATCATCATCACTGGAGATGATGAGGAGGAAATAAAGAGAGTGAAGGGGTGTCTGAGCAAGGAGTTTGAGGTAAAAGACTTAGGAAATCTAAAGTACTTCCTTGGCATAGAAGTGGCCCGGACAGAGAAGGGAATATCTTTGTGCCAACGAAAATACACCTTGGATCTTTTGAGTGACATGGGCATGATGGGATGTCGTGCAGCCCCTACTCCAATTGAACAAAATCATCAAGTAACAGCACAATCAGGTGAGCTAGTGAATAAGGAAGATTATCAGAAGCTGGTTGGGAGGTTATTGTACTTGTGTCATACCAGGCCTGACATTACGTATGCCGTGGGGGTGGTGAGCAGATACATGCATGAACCAAGGAGAGGGCATCTTGATATTGTTCACAGAATCCTGAGATACTTGAAGGGGACTCCGGGTAAAGGGTTGTGGTTTGCGAAGAGTGGACATCTTGAGGTGGATGGCTATAGTGACTCTGATTGGGCTAGCTGTCAAGATGATAGACGATCAACTTCAGGTTACTGTGTGTTTGTGGGAGGAAATTTGGTGTCATGGAGAAGCAAGAAACAGAATGTTGTGTCTAGATCAACAGTAGAAGCTGAATATAGAGCATTATCTCAAGGGTTGTGTGATATGCTCTGGGTGAAGCACCTACTATGCGAGTTGAAACTCTTGAGGAAGGGACCCTTAAGGGTGTGGTGTGACAATCAGTCAGCTATAGCCATTGCTAATAACCCAGTTCAACATGATAGGACGAAGCATGTGGAAATTGATCGCTTCTTCATTAAAGAGAAACTTGATGCTGGGATCATCAGCCTTACTCATGTCAGCTCTGGGCAGCAGTTTACAGATTGCTTGACAAAGGGACTGGAAACAAAGGACTGTAACTTGGCGTGTGACAAGATGGGGATGATAGATATCTACCACCCATCTTGAGGGGGAGTGTTGAACCGGTATGGGCCCTAGCCCATCAAGATCTGTCTCTTGGGCCCAAGCCCATGAGAGGTGCTGACCTAGAAGAGGAGCCCCTCTTCCCCCTGCCCCGGAGTGAGCCGCCAGAGACGAGAGGAACTACTCGTGAGTCACCAGACACCACCTGCCCTCCTCTCTGTAGGTACTCCCCCTCTCATCTCAACAAAATATCATTTCTAACAAGAAACAGACAATAAAAGAACAGAAGAAATATCTATTCTTTATTGCTAGTCACTTAAACATTTAAAGTCAAGTATTATTGCTTGTCACTTCTGAAACATTTAAAGTCACTAGCATAACACAAGAAAGATAATACTTGCTGAAATTAGTGATAGGCTTTAGATAAAATTATTTGAACTGATATTTCTGAACAATGGCATGCTCAGCTCAATCATTTATCAGATATCTGCGAACATGTGATTTGAGAAATCAAAATAAGCCCCAATATTTCTTTCGTCATACTCCCTCCGTTCCAAAATATAAGGTGTATTAGGTTTTTCAGAAGTCAAACCTGTGCGTGTTTGACCAAGTTTTTAGATAAAAATATCAATATCTACAGTACCAAATTTGTATAATTAGATTCATCATGAAAAGTAGTTTCATATTTTATTTATTTTGTAGTGTAGATGTTCATACTTTATTCTATAATCTCAGTCAAACATACACAAGTTTGACTTGCATGAAAATCGACACACCTTACATTTTGGAGTATATAACTTTCTATCACATGGAAAACCAGTTCAGTCAACATTTTCTCCACTTGCACCATTGGTCATTCGACTTCGCAAGCATCAGTTAATCACAAAAAATACAATACACAGAGATGCATTTTTGCATCCTACCTTGTTGCATGTGTTGACTATAACCATCCCACTTTGTGAAGCCAAAGCAACAAGGTCGTCATCCCTACAGAGACGGACCCACTTGAGCTCGTCGCCGGGAACCTAACATATTAAAATGGTAAATGATACATCACAAATTCAAGATAACCCAGAAGTATGTTATTCAGAAGAAACAGACACATGAGCTAGTATACCAGGCGCATTGAAATGATTCCTGTTGACCTGATTGACGCGAAGGCATTAAGAGGAACTTTCTTGATATAGCCGTTAACAGTCAGCATCACTAAATATTGGTCTTCAACAAATTTATTCACAGGAACAATGGAGGTTATTCTCTCCCCATCAGACAAATTGAGCAGCTGAAGACGAACAATCAAAGTAATGGTCGGTCAGTTTGTCATCTGCTAAATTGCATTAGCATGGCATATTATCAAGCCCTGTACCTGTACTAATGGAGTCCCAGCAGCAACTCTTGTGCATTCAGGTATCTTATAAGCACGTTCAGAGTATACTATCCCCTTGTCACTGAATCAAACATCGTTCAATAATCCAGTTACATGAGAGAACAAAACAATGAAACATAATTTAAATTTTAAATTCAGGCAAGCCATGTGAACTGCTTCAAATGCAAAAACATATTTCAAGAGTATATTTTGGTTTTCAAGATATTATTTAATTGGTAGAGTGTCATAGCTTATGAAGGGCAATTCAAATGTCACTATTCCAGACAAGCTGTAAACAATAGTAATGGAATGAACTTGAAGGGACTCGGTTGAACATTCTAGTTGACTGAAAACACTATATAGAAGTTATGAATCACTTCCCCACATACACAGGAAGGCCCTGTCTGAAACAGTTCAATTCCAATAGAAGAGGAATTTTCCCAATAAGGGTTCACATACCTGAAATAAAGAATATGGTCATGTGTTTGGCAGACAATGAAATCCGACATATTGTCATTCGTTCGCATCTTTCCAACAGATTTTCCAATTGTCCCCCGGTTTTGTAAATTGAAGGTGTTGGGATTCATCCGCTTAAGATAGCCTTTCTCGCTAAGAATCTTCAGGTGCCAAATGTTGTCAGGTTAAGAGAGGTGCAAACATAAGAAAAGGAAAATGGGTTCAGCAAAAATCTACCTAGGACCATAAGGGTACATTAATACATATTTGTGTTTCTTACCAAAAGCATTTCTTCGTTAGGAATAACATCCATATCATCAACTTCGCCGTTTGCTGAATCTTCTAGGAAAGAACGTCGTGGGGTAGCAAATTTGCTCTTTAAATCAGCTGCTTCTTGTTCGATAAGCTAACACACCCACCAGAAAAAAGCGTTAATAACTGGGAGTGCAATCTGAAGATATTTATCCCAGAGGAAAAAACAGTGCAGACACTAGTTAATTAACAGCTAAGAAATTACAGAGCCTAGAAAGCATTTTCTACCAGTTGTATTGAATGTACAGTGGCTCGAATCTGCACAAACTATGCTCGACAAGGTGGCCCTCTTTCACCATACATGTTCTTATTTGTTGCTAGAACTCTCTCATACTATTCATGATGAGGTTGGTAGCTAAAAAACTGTTGGGAGAGCTACAGGGAATTCTCATTTGCCTTTTGCAGATGATAGTATGATGTTTAGGAGGGGTAATGCACACCAGGCTCAGGTCATTAAAGAAGCTCTTAACTGGTTCGAGCCAAGTAAAGGCTAGGAACAGTTTGGACTTGTAAAGTGCCACAGAAAGTAAAGGTGTTCACATGGAGGTCAGGAACATATTCCTCCGCTGCAAAGAGGCTAGAGCATTGTGGGCTGAGATGAGTTTGGCCTGGAGTCTCTCTGCTGAAAGATGTTCTGCACACAGAAGGAGTGGCTGCTAAACATGCTTGCTAGCGCCGGCGAGTCGACAAGGCAGAAATTCTGATACTGTTTTGGTGAGTGTAGCATTTGCAGAACAGTTCCATCTTTTGGTAAGCATGGCATTTGCAGAACAATTCAATCTCTGGAGATGGCCAAGATACAGTAACAGCTACAGTTTCGCTTCTCATAAGCTACGAGTCACTGAGAACAGGACAAATCAAGTTTTAACAATGAAAGGCGAAGGGTCTGGCAGGAGAATAATTGGGACAATGTATCACATGCCAGAACTCCCTGGACAAGCCTAAGTGGAAATCCCCACCAGAGGGGTGGGTGAAAATGAAATGTGGATACCTTGTTTAACCAAACTGATGGTGCTTCAAGTGCAGGTATGGTAATTTGGGACTCACGAGCTTAAGTTGTTTTAACGGCATAGCATGTTCTGCCAGCATGTTCTAGCGCAGAGTTAGGGGACGTCCTCGCATGCCTGGAGGGCCTTCGACTATGCATCTATGCCATTAGCCCATTGCCAGAGTCCAGTGTGGCGGTCATGCAAGCCCTAATTTCTCAAAGGATGATCGATTGGTTATTCATCAGGTAAGCAATGAGGCCACGGTTGTTTTACTTCTTCTGCCAGGTGCTCGTGTGTCCAAGGTTTCGAGGAGAGTGTAATAGGTTGTTCATGATATAGCTAGATTGGCGTCTGGAGTTGGTACTATTAATTTGTTTACTCATGCTGCTCCTTCCTGCATGTCAAAGGGCATCGGTTCTGATTGTGGATTGTGATAACTCTTATGTTGGTTTGATCAATAAACTCTATCATTCTCCGCAAACGGAAACAAAATGCTCGACCAGTCAAAAGTAAACCAGGCATCCTAGATATCACAATGATACTGTATTTTCAGCAACTGAGGTAATAGCATGGCAGGAAGGCACCATCACATGGATCATACATATATCAGTGACTCCTGACAAAGCAAGGTGATATTTGGCCTGTCATGCTATTTATTTGATGAAACTAACATGAGTACCCCTTGAAAAGTACCTTTGGATATATCTAGGAATCAGAAGTTAAAGAGACATAGGAGATGAGAAAGCGAGGGACACAGAAAGTCAAGTGAAATGACAGGAAAATGACCAGTTTTATCACCAGGTTTTCATGTTCTCACATGTTAACACTTAGCATTGATATTCTTTACCAACAAAACTGAAGAGAATTCAGATTTTTAGGTATATTGTTAATACTTTTCCTACATCAAGAAAATAGTTCATAGAGCTCAGAAGATAACAGGATATAATGCCAGATAAATATAGAACAAGCAGAATAGATGAAGAGCTTAAAATGACGAACCTGAAACATAAGTTTCTTGCTTGACAGGAGCTCATTTAACTTTGAAATGCTCTCCGACAATGAATTAGCTTCATCAATAAACTTCTTCCGCTGCAACAAACAGAGGTCCATTCAGATTCCCCAAATAGGTAAATAATTTTGATTAATTGTGAGACAAATGGAATCTATAAATGGCAACCTCAAGGGAAGTAAGTTTCCTAAGTGTAATGTCCAAAAGTGCTTCTGCTTGCTTCTCAGATAGACCATATTCTGCAAATGTAATTCAGGGTAAAACATACAGATCTGCCAAAAGCACATATAGTCAATCAATCAGCACGTTATTTGACGTCACTACTTTGTAATAATGGATGTTAATGTGGTCAATACATGAAGAAACCATTCACATAGTTGATTGCTCTTCTTAATATAATCGCTGATGGTACTTTGAAAACAAAACCAGTGTTAACTGTTAAGCTTCATGCACTAGCCAATGCAACCAAAAGTCCAAACTGATGGAAAGGGCTAGGCAATCCACATACACACTTCAACATTAACCAGCATGGAAAAATCAGAAGGATAAGAATACAGTGGTGCTAGTGTTAGTTATGTGCAGAACTCAAAATCAAATCTTCATTCTTGAGTTCCAGTAACAAAATTAATCAAGGAAAATATTGAACAAAAACATGTCCATACTAGTGCCCTTGTACTGCAAATTTGCATGATGCAGGAATAACTGTACAGCATTCGGCTGCATTATAATTTGCCACAGCCAATTATAGCCTTAACACCAGTTTCTACAATGGAATCTCTAGGAGAAGTTGGATAACAAATGCAACCTGCAACTATGTTTGTTTAAGCTTGGCCACATTATAGCTGTGAATCCTGTGAGTTAAAGATAACAACTAAAAAGCACTCAACCAGGTATTTTTAATGGAACTGTTGAGAACTGTAGAGCTAAGGTTAGAAGAACAGAAAATAGGAGATAGTGTGAGTCACATCATTGAACAATTTCTAGATTTTACCTCATGGAAAGATCAACATTATGACTAAATGAAATAAAACCGACAAAATTGAACTAGAAAACGTTACCCTTTGCTAAAGCTTCCTTTGCCACGGTGTGATTTGATGTTTCTCTTATCACTTGAATTACAGCATCTAAATTGTCAAGACCAATGACAATGCCCTGCAGGACTAAGCAAATTAACCATCGACCTTTTGTTGTCCAAACAAGGCAGAATATCCAAATGATTTACCTCCACAATATGCTTTCTTTCTAGAGCTTGTGAAAGCTTAAACTTTGCACGCCTTTCAATAACAGAGCATCTGAAGTCAAGGAACGCCTAGAGCACAATCAGGATTTCAATGGAAAGTTAGGCCTGAAGTTCAAAAGGACATAAACTGCTAGATCATGTATCCTAGTAATCAATCATAATTTTGGAGTGTGCATGTGCAGTAACTACAATTGCTGAATGTATCTTATGAAAGCTTTTCCTCAAAGATAAACTACTGAAGGTTAATTATTGTCCAACAGTTAGTTACTTAATGTCATGGTATACAGTATAGCACACTAGCATTTGCAACTTCAGATAGAATCAACACATATTTTCTAGTGGACATGACATACAGAAACATTAACTCCATTGAACATGACATGGAATGGGAATGGACAGGATAGGGTGAACATCACAGCACCTGAAGAATTTCCTTCAGTCCCATCAGTTTTGGATGCCCATCAAGAATACTGAACAAGTCAAGGAAAAAAACAGATGTAAGAACTGAAGACAGGTCAAGTTAGTTATTACTGTTTAAAAATGCAATGACATAGATACAAATTCTAGATAGTATGGCAACCATGCACAGACAATGCACGTTTGATTAACATAATCAAAGCATGAAAAAAAACCTCTTATAATTTACATGTACACTTACCAATTTTTACATGTTCTTATCTTGAAACTTTGATGTGGAAGAGAATTATCAAAACATGTTTGTGCACACTTTTAAGAAAGGCCAGTATAGATAACATGCACGTCTTGAGAGTCAGAAATGGACACTTTTTATTAAAAAAATAGCAACATTTTTTATTTAGAGTGTAATTAGGAGGCAATAACGACAATAAAGAACTTAAAAGTACAGGAGAGATTAGGGTAGGGTACATTAGTCCACAACCACTGGATGTATATTTAATAAATTGGATTAAAGGTTTTGAATGGGAGCATCCGAACCTAAAATGTGATTTATATGGTACAGATAACCATAATAGTATTTCTTTAAAATAAAGAGCTCAAACACGTCAACCGAGATCTTAAAAATATTATTAGGATCATCAGATTGCCTTCATACAGGGATGCATGCATAGCTTGACGTAAGGTACTCTTCTTCGCAGGAGCTTCACATAAGGCCTTAAATAGCTGTTGTTACATCAAATAAACAATTCTGCCAATTATTTTAGTCGTGCTGGTACATATCACGTTTGACGTGTGTATTGCATCAAACATGGCATCCAGTTCTCCATATGTGATTGCATTTTTTGCAAATAAGTTAATGCATGGTATGGGTCAATGGATGCTTCTAGTGGCTAAGGGTGAAACATGATTGATAGTCTCCCTGTCATACAACGACATCAGAAAAGAAAATGAAGAGCAAATACTATGCACCATGTGAACAATTTACAGTCCTGCTTTTACCGTAGAACACATGACCAAAAGAAACAAAATCATACAACTATATAAATGATTACTTACGCTACCATGTTGCAGCTAAAACTAGACTGCAATGCTGTATGACGATACAGGTTATTCAGGACAATGGCAGGATTTGCACCTCTTTTCACCTGGAACGGTATGAAAGAGAAGGTAATGGATTCCACATAAGCAACAAGACAACTAATATCCTTGGACCCATAATTTCAGTCTTAAATGATAAAGATAAGCTCAGCACATAAAGTCAAAGATGATAGTACAAACCTCGATAACTACACGCATTCCAGCACGGTCACTTTCATCCCGAATATCACTGATGCCTTCTAACACCTGCACTTAGTACCAAAAATGGGTTGGTGGTTCATAGTGGTGGTATCAATGACAGAATTCAAATTAAGCTTAAGTTACAGCCAACCAACTAACTTACGTCCTGTTTTTTTATGGATAAACCCAAACACCAAAAGGCTACAGCACGAGTAATAAAAAATAACTAATTATGTCCCAAATGAAGTTACCTTGTCTTCAACAAGCTCCGCTATCCTTTGGACTAGAGTAGATTTATTTGTCTGGTACGGAACCTGCACATAAGGATAAAGAATTACAAATTGTAAAATATGTTCACTTGGTTACAAAGGTAACTTGATTACAAGGTAATATGGACTGTCAAAAAGGCATTGCTCTGAAAATACTAACAGGAATCAAACCTCATTAATTATGATAGCCGTGCGCTTGGTTTTCTCATCAATTGTTTCCATGACGGTTTTGCCTCTCATCACAATTCGACCACGCCCGGTTCTATAGGCCTCCAAAATACTATGCAAGCAGAAAAAGAAATGCAGAATATAACACCTTAGTGTATGGTAAAGGGAAGCAAGACCAATGAAATATGAATCCAGTACCAATCATTTCCCATGAGTATCCCTCCTGTAGGAAAGTCAGGACCAGGCATGTATTCCAGTAGTTCTTGGAGCTTGCATACAACAGAGAATCACAATCAAGATAATGAGAATCAATAAAATGTAGAAGCAGAAGGAGTAGAAGACTTGGAAGTGAACAGAACTAGAGAAATCCATTTAAGAGCAACAGTCAACTGCTGTGAACCTAAGAATTTATCCTAGTATGACTACACCAATGCCAATGTTCTGAGGATATTTTCTTTAGAGAATATGCAAATGATGCACTTGTACTTTTTATTAAGAGACAATCAGACAATTATTGAGCACAGTACAATTGCATGCTGCCCTTTTCTTTTAGACAATTAGATTGATTCACTATGCCTTAAGTAAAACAAACAACTACAAGAGTTTGCCCGCAGAGATTGTTGTCCACTTGTTCTGCTTAATTGCTTAAGAGAAAGAGTAGCAGCTACTTAACAAATATTCCCTCCGTTCCATATTAGTTGTCACCGAAACAGTGATACATCCGTTTGAGCGACAACTAATATGGAACGGAGGGAGTACATAACAATTTAGTGGCGTTGCTTCTACAGCTCAGATGTGCGAATGCGTAAATTATACACTTCAATTCGGCCAAAGAAGCTATTAGAACATTCTGCTACTAAGGGCAATCATTCGGAAGGCTCCCCAGACACAATCCAAGACCAGCATGGCAGCACTTATAATTGGCCAACAGACCTGACATGCTACATCAGCAAGTTTCGGCTGGGCAATTGCCTTATACTCCCTCCGTCCCACAACATAGCTTGAAAAATGATCTTATATTATGGGACGAAGGGAGTACTAGTATCCTGGCCCTAGTGTCTTCCACGTAGTTTTAGCACAAAAGAATGAAGGCTAAGCAACTAGCATTGCAATTGTACTTCCAAAGCTTTGGTCATGATCAGAGAAGTGCAGCATGACCATATATCAGAAAAGGACAGCATGCACTTTTCCCTTGATTTATAAATGAACATGCATTGACAAATTCTATCACTAAAGGCCTACCAGGCATCACCTGAGTGCTTTAACCAAATGTGCCACCAGCGACCAACAACTGGTTATTTATGGGTTCATCATGCTATGTACTATGATGCAATTAACAAACAAAGATCGATTGATTGAAAAGGAGATAATGATAGAATACTTACCGTAGCATCAGGGTTTTGAATTATAGCAGAGAGTGCATCAACAAGTTCTCCCAGATTGTGGGGAGGAATATTCGTCGCCATTCCAACCTGAAATAATACCACATAAAAAAAATCATATCCAGAACATCACATCTCTTTTTAGCATAAATAGGTGCCGAAATGAGCTGAACTCTTCTTAATAAGCTTATAAAAGAGCTCATACTGCAATTCCAGAAGATCCATTCAACAGTAGTGATGGAACACGAGCTGGCAACAGAGATGGTTCTTTCTGTGAATTATCAAAGTTCGGAACGTAGTCAACCTGTCCAATGGCAAACGAGTAGCATGAAATAGGTAGGAAAAAGGAACATCCACACAAACATGTGCATGCACACACACAGAGAAACACATAAGAACTGAAGCGCAAAGATTTACTGTATTCAGCTCCAAATCAGTCAGGAACATGGCTTCTGTTAATGGCTGCAAAATAACAAGAGGGGCCGTGAGACTTCAGTTGGTGAAAAAGTCAGCTCGCCTAAAAAAATTGAAGTGGACCAAAACCTACATCCAAGCGGCACTCTGTGTATCGCATTGCAGCGGGAGGATCGGCATCTATTGAACCAAAGTTACCATGTCCTTGAACAAGTGGGTACCTCATTGAAAAGTCCTGCAAGCAAATTTGACATATGTGATGCAGCTTCACGAGTGTAGCTTGGTTTTAAATTGGAGAGATGTGATAGATATAGAAATTCTACATGCAAAAATTAGTACGTACAATTTGAAATATTCAGGTATCTGCCTAACATGAACTGAATTGTCACTACTATTTCATACTCCCTCCGTCCCAAAATAAGTGACTCAACTTTGTACTAGCTTTAGTACAAAGTTAGTATAAAGTCGAGTCACTTATTTTGGGACGGAGAGAGTATTAATTAATTAATACTACTGTAATATAGTTTACAGAGGTTGTCCAGTCACTAAACTCTGTTTCCTGTCATGGCTATCTAAATTGACATATAATGCAAGTACCCAAGTTTAAATGAGGATCAATCAGCATCTGCTTATCGTGACCCACCCAAAAGGGGAATAGGTCTGGTGAAGTGCACGAATTTACATTGTATGGCATTCTTTCATGGAATACGTAGACAGATAAAAAAACTTAAACGGATGACCAGTCAAATGTCATGACACCACCTGGCCTTAAAAATAACATCTACACAGTAATGTTACCTGAGCCATTCGCACTAAAGTTTCATAGACGGCTGAATCTCCATGAGGATGGAATTTACCGAGTACCTGCAAGAAATATGATAAGTTCACGTCCGTACACCTAATAGGCAGAAAGGCATCAGCCGAAAACCACAATATTGTTCAAAAATGTTATCAAAAGAGGTACAGAGGTAATGCTGCTCTGACATTATCCATCAACATAAATAACATTTTTGCTGATTTATTTACAACCTGAAATTTTCCAATTTATCATTGTAACTATGTCAAATGTGGCAAGTAGCAACTCACTCACAACTCAGCCTAGGTGATTATAAATTTTCTGGTCCTGCCTCTAAGGGTAAGGAACTAGATAGGTGAGCCGATATATGCTTAACTAGATAACTCCAAATCCATGGGCAGGCTAGACAAACATGATATGCAGTTTTGAGACCACCAGTTCTGTAGCAAAATAAGTGGTGCAAAATAAACTGAAAATATGATCACAGTGGTATAACAAAATGTGCCTGCCCCAAAACAAAACTCTTTTTAGTGTATTGGTTTAATGGTTATTGCTGCTGTTATATGATACCCTAGAAGCCCAGAAGCAAATAGTTTGTTCGCCATGAAGATGCAATTGAACAAAAAAACAAACACCTATTAGCTTACAGTCATACCACAATAACTGCAACAAATTGCTTCTTTGACAGAGCAGAGTCTCAAAAACTTCAACGCACAGCATGAAAATGAATTTACTATTTGAGAGAGCGATTATTTGGAAAGTGCTTTGCTGGATACTGATGTTAAATGGGAAAAATCACCATTATAGCGTGTCCACCGCATCCAAATACTAGGGAAGCCATACTAGGGAGGGAGGGGACTGTATTCCTGATGATTCGATGGTTCTAATGTACATGTTAGTGTTTCTACTTATGAGGGAAAAACATGGTTTGGGGTGTGCAGTTGACATTTATCCATGTGGACACACTTAAGACATTCTATAAAATCACGGTGGATTAACATGTAAACCGAATATAGTGCCACCATTTCCATTTTTGAACTCCATGCAGTATAACTGGACACACTTAAGACATTCTATAAAATCACGGTGGATTAACATGTAAACCCAATATAGTGCCACCATTTCCATTTTTGAACTCCATGCAGTATAACTAAGTCAACTAATTCACGATCCCATTACATGGTGCAACTGCAACACTGTTATCAACACAAAATGCTTGATTACACAGGTAATGCACACTTCTCCTATCCAAGTGCTATCACACCGAGACACCAAAGAAACAAAAGCCTTTTAAGCCATCTCCACAACAGTAGCAAAGCAAAAAAAAAAATGGTCTACAGATCTATTCTGAAATTGGAAGATATTTGACTCTCTTTCATGAAACAAAAGGTACTTAGTTTTCAGTTTTTTTCAGATCCTGGTCATATCAGCTTGGGCTGACCTCTAATGGCCTCAGAGGAGCTGTAAGAGTGAGCGTATTATTTGCACAATACAAAGTCAACAGCAAAGTAAAACAAACCAACAGCATGGTACAGCAGGAGGGGAATATATGCTTCAAATCACCAATGACACAAGAGTTCCTTCATGCATACCTCACCAACGACTCTGGCACATTTTCTGTATGGCTTACGAGATGCAAGGCCCATTTCATGCATTGCATAGCTGCAGAGAAAATGAGGATATCACCCAGATGGGTTGGAGCAAGGTTAATAACAATACTAGAATGAAACTAATCTGCAAAATGTGCTAGCGTAGCACTAGTCATACAGATAACTTCAGAAATGGAAGAATACTCATATGATCGTTCAGTACTTCTTCAGAGTAAGAATTCAGATGCTATGTAAACCTAAGATACTTCAGAATGTAGATTAGCTCAAGAGACAGATTCAGGCACAACAGCTGTTTTACTATACATTCACTGCAATGGGAGCAATTTGACAAAAGATAAGCATCTCCAGGCAGCTACACTGTACAAAGTTATCTGGTAACTAATGGTAACAACTTGATTGCTTAACTCAACAACAATCTAAGGGTGATCAACAGAACATTATAACATTTAAGAAAACATCAATTTGTTTTTCTTCAAAGTGATATGACTTATTAGACAGGCTAGTATAGCCAAAACGGCCATCAAGGCTACTCTTACAAAGAGATGGGGACAAAATCCTTATCTGACTGCATTCAGCAATGAAGACACCCACAGCAATCCGACGCATGAACAAAGTGAGAAAAAACAACCCAGAACCATTCACAACTACAGTATATATGGTCACGTACTCTCTGATCACAAACTACGCACAATATCCTTATCTGACTGCATTCAGCAATGAAGACACCCACAGCAATCCGACGCATGAACAAAGTGAGAAAAAACAACCCAGAACCATTCACAACTACAGTATATATGGTCACGTACTCTCTGATCACAAACTACGCACAATTTGTACTTCTTTATCAAACCCATTGGACAACAGCTCAACCATTATTGGTTTACCACTAGAGGTCGTTCCTGCATACTTCCAGACCCTGCAGTCTACGGGCATGTGGCAAAACCAAACCCTCTCCAGAAAACTTACACCAATTGTTTACAAAGTAGTATGGACTAACGAGATGGTAAGGCAATCGGGTGTCTCGCTGGTGAACGAGTTAAACCACCGAGCTGCAAACGAATCAGCTTCAACCTAGCTCCTAAACAAGCTCAAGCACACCCAAGCCCCAATCGACCGAAATTACTTGGCGAACATGTAAATCCAGCGAAGCCTCTAATCCGACAAGCGAAGGCGCGCACCGAGCAAGCTGGGGTAAATAAACGAGAGGGGGGAACTCACAGTATCCGGCGGTGCACCGGCTTGAGCCCGTCGCGAACGTCGGGGAGGGCGCGGCCGAGCAGCACGGACATGGCGTAGGACATGTACGCGTCGGTGGCCTCCTTGTGGAGCTCCACCTGCACAATCCGCTCCTTGGTCACGGCGGCCCCATCCCCGTCGTCGTCGCCGTCGCGGCGGCGCGCGCGAGGGGCAGACTTCCCGGAGCGCGAGGAGGAGGGGGAGGGGACGGCGCAGAGGAAGCGGAGGGCGGGCGCGGGACCCGCGGCGGCGCGGCGGCGGGAGGCGGCCCCGGCGGCGGCAACGAGGGAGGCGGAGGGCCCGCGGAGGAGGCGCGGGAGCGG